CTTTAGTGAAATACTCAAAAAACAAAAAGATCTCGGAACATGTAAATGATGAGAATATTACAAAGTGATACAGACGTATGAGACTGAAGTACCTGTTCATTTATAAGGTTAGCTATAATAACTTGAGAGGTAAAATTTGCCATTTATATGTGATTCGATGGTGAACATTAACGTTTTTTAAATTTTATAATAAGCCCAGTTAAATCCAAATAGATCTTACTCTAGACAGGCATGCTTTTAATCTGTTCCCAAACTGACAGTACATGTGAAGAAAGGCTCATCTGGTGATACTACAGACATGCCCTAAACGAATTCCTCTCACAGCAACGGTGCAGGCAAGGTGTGGAAGAACAGTCAGGTGAGATAAAGCCTTAACATCAGCAGAAAATTCTGCAGTGTTAAGATTCAAACGCAGGATGAAAGTTTCATGTTACTGATGCAGAAAACTCCCTACAACAGAAAACCTGGTGGCTGAGGAGTCAAAGTCGCCCAAGGGAGGCCGACCAAGGATACCTCCATTGTTCGAAACATCCAAACAACCCACCTGCTGTGGTTACAGGGCAGGGTCTTCACCCGTTCAACTCCTGCTTCTCTGCCCCCATCTCTTCCTACTAAACTCTGATGAAAAAACGCAGCTATATCTCCATCCATAACTTCCTCCTTCTGGCAATAAACACAATATATGCAATAACAGAAAACCAAACGTTTTAACTACAGCAAAACATTACAGAAAGTAAGATTCTTCTGTCCAATCGCAACCAACCAAATTAATACACAAACAAAAATAATATTTTTCTTTTTGTGACAGTAACTAATTGCGTTAGTTACGTAGAAAAGCTGCTCATTATCTAATAATCACCATATAGCAGTTTCAGCAACAGAAAAGGCCAAGGAAGTGTACGTGAGGAAGTCCAGCTCCTTTGGAACAAAGACGTGTCATACCCAGGTAGCCTTGGAGTTCTGGCAACTGCTACCTTTGACCGCTCTGCATTTGTTTCAAATAGCCCACTTCAAGTTGCATCAAAGGAAATTATCAACAAGTATTATGGTACAAACAAACTGGAACAATGACTCGATGGCACAGGATCAGCAGGAGCAGAGGTCTGCTTGGAAGGCTGAAAACACAGCGCATGGAAGTGGACTTGTGGGTGCAGTATGAGAACGCATACAGTGCTGGGCTGGAAATTCATTCCACTGTTGTGTTCAGAGATCATAGTAACTATGATCTTATCTGGATTTATAGATTTCAGAAAGAACACACTTCAACTAAACTGAAGTAAAAACCACAAACATCTGAAGGTCCTGTTGATACAAGATGTGCCTAGAACTTTGGCTGATATAGAGAAACACGTCCGCTAAGGCACCCCGAGGCAATCTGACAGTGTGTTGGAGAAAACTTGGTTGTCAGAACCACGTCATTGTGAGAGTACAGGGAACGGATTTCTTTCAGGGGACTGGCTTCTTTGGGCAAGCAGTCGACAAGTTCACTGCAGTGTGCATCAAACCCCAACAAGCGGATCCCAAAGCCATGGGGGGATGAAATCATCCGACCATCGGGACTGAAACAAAGTTCTTTGATGTAACCCCGTCCCACATTGGCTTCTTCAATGCAATGAGTCAATCGCAGGGAACAACGAGGTGAGACGGGGCGCACGGGGGCTCCTTCCTGGAATTCATAGACACAAGTCCACTAAAGGAAGAGGCAGAAAAAGGAACATTTAAAAAAAAATAAAGCACTGCAAATACTCATTCCCTCCCGCTGTACCTTAAGTGAGTAACACAGGAATGACCAATGCTAGTGCTTACCTTCTCTTCGATAAGCATCTACTATGAAACACTGAAAACAAGCCAGTTCCTTGGCATCTTCTCCGCTTTGAATTGTCTAAGCAAAACATCTGTCTAGCATCAAAGCTGCCTTTTTAATTAAATGGATGCTAGATATAACCTTCAAATCTAGTTTTTATCTGGAAAGATCAAAGCCTAATCCTTTGGCCAGGCATCTGCTCTGATTTAGTAAACATTTAAATTAAATCTACAATGAAGTAGAACTCAACCTACTGTAACTTACAGCTTAGCATTGGCACTTTGTGCTTTTAACTTCAAAAGGAAAGACATCTTGAAACAAGGGAAACAGATTTTGAAGGAATGTTATGAACAGCTCTATAGCAGCTTGTTACTTGTGAGACAGGCAGAGATTTTAATGTGTAATCCAATTATCTAATCTCAAACCAAATGCAAAAAACAGTTCTGTATCATGTTGAAAGATCCAATTTCAGCCACAAGACAAGTGTTCTTAGTTTGTTCCATGCATTCTACTGTACAAACACAAAGGGAACAATACTAATAAATATTTATAGTAGAGAGTAAGGCAGACACTAGGACCATGGGAAATTGTAACTAGGTCAATCGTATCAACTGATCCAATACAATATTTGCATTGCCAAAAACTTCTGTGTTGTATAGCAATTTTATTATAAGTTTACAGAACCAGCATTAAAATTTATAACACATCTGCTACGCTTCCATTCAGTCCTCTACAGATCTGTAAGAGGTCACAATTACAAAGAGTGGCTTTCTTAAAAAAAAAAAACAACCAACAAGAATCCTCAAAACCCCCCAAACAAATCCCAATTTATATCAGCTATCAAATTAACTAAACTGTTTATTATTGGTCAAGTATTCAAGGAATTCTCTGTGGTTTTGGAAAACAAACATAAAACCTCTGTCTTGAAAATAGACTGGTCTGCACAACTGTCACAGCAATAATTTTGAAGTAACCCTAGGAAAAAGGGTGTTTGCAGGAGGACCATCTGGTGGAATCCAGGTGTTGTGAAGAGTCTGGATGGTCTTTAAGTTAAAGTGAACTTGAGTTAACCTGGAAGTTATTTGTCAAAGCAGGCACTCTCAAATACAACCTGCTGGCTCTTACTTTCTGTATATAGTCCATGAAGAAGTTTTTTCATTATTTCTGACTGCATTACAGACTCCTTGTCTGGCTTAAAACAGGGTCCCAGTACAATAAAGCAGCTATTACGTGACACTTCACAGACAAAATCTGGGGAAATCCAACACTAGCCTTAAAGTCTGCCATTACTTCTTTAAAGCAGTTATTTAGAGGAGTGAAATCTGCAAGCTGTAGATGAGCTGTAGCTGGTCTTATGACTTAGTATTTCAAGCATAGGCTTGAAATAGATTCTGCCAGGAAGATCATCGATGCCCCCTTTATATATAAGCTGCAGAGTTTTAGGATGAGAGTTGAGATCAAGGCATTCTGAAATTATGTCAACATCACTGATGTTCATTATATTCAGACCTACAGCATGACAGTTTTAAGTAGATGCAAAAATACACCAGGAAGTTTTTTCATGGCAGGTAAGAGGAGCAGCCTCTGGAAAGCATTCATCAGCACAGCAGGAGCACTTCATCCTTGAAGCATAAATGGAGGTAGAAAGCATTCCATAGGCACTTGAGGAATTCAGAGGAGCTTCTCTGCTCAACTTAAACCATGTTCACCAGTACACAACCCTCTAATCCTCTGTCTTTTTCAAGTTCCCATCTCCTATATTTTGGCAAGTACATATTTTCAAGTCATGTATTTGGCAGCACAACTACTGTTTGAAAAATCTTTAACAGACCTGTGAGCTATAAAACCTGTTCTGTGAAAGAGCTGGGCAACAGGAGTACTGAATCACATAATCACAGAATGTTAGGGATTGGAAGGAACCTCAAAGGATCATCTAGTCCAATCCCCCTGCTGGAGCAGGACCACCTAGATTAGATCACACAAGAATGCGTCCAGGCGGGTTTTGAACATCTCCAGAGAAGGAGACTCCACAACCTCTCTGGGCAGCCTGTTCCAGTGTTCCATTATTCTTACTGGGAAGAAGTTCTTCCTCATGTTTAAGCTGAACCTCCTATGTTCCAGCTTATATCCATCTCCCCTTGTCCTATCATTGGATGCCACTGAGAAGAGCCTGGCTCCATCCTCATGACAGTCATCCTTTACATATTTATAAACATTAATGAGGTGCCCCCTCAGTCTCCCCTTCTCCAAGATAAAGAGACCCAGCTCCGTCAGCCTTTCCTCATAAGGGAGATGCTCCACTCCCTTAATCATCTTTGTGGCCCTGCACTGGACTCTCTCAAGCAGTTCCTTGTCCTTCTTGAACTGAGGGGCCCAGAACTGGACACAATATTCCAGATGCGGCCTCACCAGGGCAGAGTAGAGGGGAAGGAGAACCTCTCTCGACCTACTAACCACACCCCTTCTAATACACCCCAGGATGCCATTGGCCTTCTTGGCCACAAGGGCACATTGCTGGCTCATGGTCATCCTGCTGTCCACCAGGACCCCCAGGTCCCTTTCCTCTGTGCTGCTCCCCAACAGTTCAGTCCCCAACTTGTACTGGTACCTGGGGTTGTTCTTACCCAGATGCAAGACTCTACACTTGCCCCTGTTGTATTTCATTAAATTTCTCCCTGCCCAACTCTCCAGCCTGTCCAGGTCTCTCTGAATGGCAGCACAGCCTTCAGGTGTGTCAGCCACTCCTCCCAGGGAGGGAATGAGGGATACAAAGTCATATGAGGTCATTAAAAACATAAAAGAAAAAATAATTTCATAATCTTGGTGGTAAATTAATGCATTTGTAAGCAGAAATAACTGACTAATTTATTCAAATGCAAATTTACCCCAAACCAAGGCAATTTCAATATAGTTGTATGATCAATACATCTTACTCAATGTATTTTTTTATAAAAACATATTTCTTTTTACCTCCTGGTCATCTGTATTACTTGAGCACCGAAGAAGCGTAGCCCATCCTTTTGGATGTAGCTGTAGTGATGTAATGCAATTGCCTCGATCTCTTTCTCCAGGAACCTCTGGCGTTAAGACCTCCAAACTATTTCTAGGTGATCCACCTAGAAGGGGAAGTCAACTGTAAGTCTCAATGTAAGTCTACACATTGGTCTTCACCTCTCTCATCAGTCTACAGTTGAAGCTAGGTCAAACATGTGACATTTGACATCTGATTGCTAGAAAAGACTGCACCTTTATGAAAGGATAAATGAATAAAGAGAGATTATACGAACAACTGAAGCTAATACCAATGGGCTCAGTCCTGATTTCAAATAGCTTCTTTTTTGAAATTTGCCTTCCAAGACCTGCCTTAAATCACCTCATACTGTGAACTAAGTCAAAGTTAACTTTCCACACATACACTCTTTGTTATCATTAAAACAAAATCTAAAGAGTGTTTTCTTTGTAATAACTACTGGTTCTCAAACTTCTATGATTCCTTTCCAAATTCTTTTCAAAGTCTGCTCAGCTGTATTCAGCTTGCCTCCCTTCTCCTCCTCACCTCTAGAAAGCTTTTCGCAGGTAAATCATGCCATGGCATCTGGATAAGCCTTCTCCTTCCATAAGCATGTTTGAGGGTCTCACAACCATGAGTAGTTAAAATTTAACATTATACTTATTTTTAATTGCATGTGATTCACAAAGTATTTACCAACTGGCCAAGGTCACGCTGACTCTCTGAAAGTGTATCCTAGATTCAGAGGAAGCTTGCTAATCACAGAATCATCAGTTTTCATAGCTCTGTAGCTAGGTAGGACTCGGTCTGTAATCAGAACTTCACGAAACACTCCGTCCACATTTAATTTTTGAATACTGTTTTTCCATGCTACTGACTCCTCCTGCAGATACATATTCGCATCAATAAGGCAAATAAAAAGCAAAACACAGCTATGTTCTGCTCTGGTTTTGTTTTGGTTTTGTTTGTTTGTGGTTTTGGTTTTTTTTTTTCATTTTTTCCCCCCCTCTAAAGGTCATTCACATTAACTTTGTTCGAGGTAAAACCACAAAGGAAAGGGAGCATCTCTGCGTAACAACAATAATGTACCAATATAAAATAAAGGTCTTTTTGCTGTCACCAGATTTCTTGGGAAAAAAACGATTAGATCTCCAGCTTTTGGTGTGCAATGATATTGTATCAGTTTAATAGAAGTTGTAACAACACTACTCTTAAAAGTCACACAGAGAAAAAACACAGTTTTGCACTATTATACTCTGGCCTCTTCTGGGTACAACGAGTCAAAGTCCATGACTTTTTTTTTTTTTTAAATCTTTCCTACCTTCTCGCTGAGAGGACCGCGACATGTGTTTCTCAGACAGTGGACCTGAATCGTTCTGGTGACACGGTGAACCAACAGCTCGAGGACCAGATGAACCTGATGATGCTATGTCTGCAAAAGGCATCAACCAGGTGAACACAACACCTAAGCACTGCCCACTTTCCAAGCACATCCTTCACTTAATCCTCCACAGAAATGTGAAGTAAAGGGTAAGGCATCTTGTTAAAACCCTTTTCAAAGCTCGGTTTACAGTCTAAGAGTACCATTCTGTTTGTGCCTCATACAAACAAACTGCCAGCACAACAAGTTCTACTGGGAGTAAGAGGCAAGCTGCATGCCTTCCTCCTTACGTACTGTCACTACTAGAAACTGGAGTATGAATTTTTCTCCAGGCCAATCCCTTTATAACCTGACACCCCAAACAGCAGAGTTTTTGTCACTGTTTTGCTCCGTTACTGCCACAAAGCAGGAGGAAGCAAGCAGTGAAATTTCAGAGCACACTATTCTTCCAGGTCTGCTGTCGAGAGCAACCACACCACTACACAACAGTCATTAGCAGCTGCTAGAGCTCACACACAGTCAGCCTACTCAACATGGATTCCATTTCTCTTATTACAAGATCAAGGAGAGCAGATAAATAAAGGTAGAGACTGCCAGCCTAGGTGCCAGAATTCCACAGATGCTATATTCTGTAGTGCTGAAGTCTTGACACCAAAAATCATCCTTGACACTTCACGTGAGTCAGAACATACCACACAACAGTATAAACACGTATGACCCCTGAACAACAGAGCAGATACCATGCCAAAGAGTTCCTCAGCAGAATCCTTCAGACTCCACCTCTGCCGCCTTTTGCTAGCTAAGAGTATCACATAAAACACCACTATCACAGAAGCTGCCACAAGCATTCACCTGAACTTGATGTAGTCCTCCTAGCTCTTAAAATCGGGTAGCTGCCAACCTCTAAAGATTTGTTTAGGTCAAGGTCATGTAAAATCAGAAGATATCCAGAAGAGGTTGAGATCAACATTTTTGAACAGTCTGGCGTCAGCCTCATTCGCATAAGAAAACGTGTGTGAAAAAACTTCTTGTGAGGACATCCATCTTCTGTGCACCTGGACAGCAAAAAAAGCACAAAAAATGGCTGCAATTAGCTTTGATTCAAGTCCCTAATAATGTCCAGAAGAGTCAAAGATGTGCTAACCATTCTTGTTCATCCTCAAACTTTGACTACTGTCCTTATCCTACTTAAATCGGATCTTAATGAAATGGCAGAAGTCACGTTTTCATAATTCCACAACACTGAAGACAGAACTTTTTCAAAAAGAAAGAACTACATTTCAGCATGTCAGGGAAACAAAGCTCTCTTTTTAGCTACTGGACTATTACCGTGTAAAAAGTGATGCACGTTCTTGATAAGGACTATAAACTAACCACAGTATTTAAGAATGCATTACAGCACCACTCAAGGAAGCAGGTTTTCCATCTTGTACAGGAGAACCCTATCCTAGCACACAAGCTCTAGAAATGTAACAGCACGAACACAGCCACATACCTGTTTGTGTCCCAGATGATCACGTTTCCATCAAACCCTGACGTTACTAGTAATCTAGTATTGGTATCGTACTCAATGTTCTTAACCCAGCTGGTGTGACCATGTAAAGTGCACACTTTCGTGTTCAGCTTTCTCAAATCCCAAAGTGCTATTGTAGTGTCATCAGAACAAGTCGCAAACAGCCGATTATCTAGAAACCTGAAAATGGGAGAGAAATACTGTGGCTGCTTAGTGCCTTTTCTAATTTAAATATTCTTAACCAGGGAATTTAAGCTAACCGAGAAATAAATAGAGCAGCCACACAAAAAAATTAACATACAGCAGAATATTTGCCAATAAAACAGTTCCATTAAAAAGCAGTGCTGTTGAGATATGAACCAGTAGTACATTTCTAGTATCAAACTAATAAACTCACAGAAGCATAGCAGAAGTTAGGGTTTGTTTGTTTGTTTTGTTGGAGTGGGTTTTTTTTGTTTGTTTGTTGGGGTTTTTTTAATGAATCACAGAAAGATTGCACAATCGCTAAATCTCCAGTGAGACAAACACTCACACAGAATCCCTGTGGTAACTAAATCAGTAATCCATCCAGATAACACTCAGCTTTAAACTTATCAAGTCTTTACAAGACACTGACGTCCTAGGACTGGTCAGCTTTTAGACCACTGGCAAGATATTCTCATGCACTGGTTTGGCAGTCCCTGCAAGAGAGGTCTGTCAGCCTAAATTGTCTCTAATTTATGCCTTTCATCTTCCCCAATTTTGCCCAATCCTTTCGCTACTAGAGACTGGCAGCACCAGGAGACACAGCAATTCCGTCTTCACTTCAGACTGCACAAGATCCTATCATAACTAACGAAACTCATGCTATTCTTTACCCTCTTCACTTCTACCCATATCAACCCTCATTCTTTCCACGTGTTGGGTTTCTGCGGTGCAGTTTTGGTAACAGGGGAGGAGTACAGGGATGGCTATCACGAGAAGCTGCTGGAAGCTTCCCTGGCTCCAGGTGAGACCCACCTCAGGCCAGGGCCCAGCCAAACGTCATCCACCTCTGTCAAGAACATATTTTAAAAGTTCTGAGGCAGGAAGGGGGGAAGCGAGTAGCAGTCACAGCTTGGAGCACCCTAAAGGTCCCTGCTCCCGGGGTGCCCACTGGGTGAAGCTCGTCCCACCGGGACTGTTAGAAATCATTGTGCCAGCTGGACCTGGCATGGCTACAGTGGAAAGAGGAGAGGGATGTGAGAGAAACAACTATGCAGACACCAGGGTCACTGAAGGAGGAGAGGGAGGAGGTGTGCAGGAGCTGAGATTCCCCTGTGGCCTGTGGGGAGATGGCACATGAGCCCCCTGTCGCCTGTGGAGATTAACGGTGGAGCAGAGATCCGTCTGCAGCCCATGGAGGACCCCATGTTGGAGCAGGTGGCAGGCCTCCTGCCTGAAGAAGGCCATAGCTTTGTGGGAAAGCCTGTGCTGGAGCAGTCTGTTGGTGAAGGACTGCACCTGTGGGAGGGACCCGAGCTGAAGCAATTCATGAAGAACAGTATTCCATGGGAAGGACTCTCGTCAGAGAAATTTGTGAAGGACTGTATCCCATGCAAGGAATCCCATGCTGGAGTAGAAGAGTGTGAGGAATCCTCCCCTGAAGAGGAAGGAGCAGCAGAAACAACACATGATGAACTGACTGCAGTCCCCATTCCCTGTCTGCCTGCACCACTGTGTGGGGAAAGCAGAGCAACTGGGAGCAAAGCTGGGCCCTGCAAGAAGGGAAGGGTTGGGGGAAGGTGTAAGACCTAGTGTTGTTTCTCACTATCCCCTCTGATGTGACTGATAACAAATTAAACTGATTTTTCCCCAATTCCAGTCTGTTTTGCCCATGACCATAACCGGTGAGTGATGCCTCCCTGTCCTTGTCTCAGCCCTCGTGCCTTTTGTTGTATTTTCTTCTCTCCATCCCACCAGGGGTGGGGGACGAATGAGCAAGCGTCTGTGTGGTTCTTAGCTGCCAGCTGTTCTAAACCATGACACCCTGCTATTCTGTAAATCCTCCTCTCTTCCCCACTGCAGACATAAGCTCCTTGCACTCAAAGTAGGTCTTTAAAATACGATCATCTTTTGTCACTCCTACTAGAAGACATGTACTGCTTTTAAACCTTGCTGCTCTATACAGCGCACATTCTGCTAGCTTAGCCGAAACCTATGTTGTCTAAGCCTCCTTCAGCTAACACCTGAACACCTTCCCTTCTGCAAGGCCTCATGCTGCTCTGCACCACACGCAGTCACTCAGCATCCCAGGCGGCCAGTCACGACCAAAAGCTCTCACCAGATCTTGACCTCACTGGCACAAGCAGAACACAGCACTCGTTGCAAAGCGTGTGACCGGAGTTGATCAACAGGGACCTGCTTTCAGAAACACCCTGCCTAGCCAGCCTGGCATGGACAGTGGTGGAACCGTCCATGCTGGAAATGCTCAGTGCCAGACTTATCAGGATGCTGGTGAGGCCGCCCAAAGCCCTGCTCTTACCAGAAGGCTGTTAGAGATGCCGGATCTCTGAAGGCCCTTTCCAATCAGACCTCTTGCCACTCCATGATGTGCCTCAGGCATCCGTGCAGAGCTGTGGTCACACCATGTGTCTGTACTGAGCATGTGGAAAAGCTGGCCTGCTGGTTTTACACAGGACATACAACGGTGCTTTTCTGAGAGATTTAATCCAGTGGATTAACTGGCTGATGTATGGCTTCTTTTACTAACAACATGGCTTACACTACACACAGTATTGCTGTCTTGGAGAGATGTACTAGATTTAAATTTGAACGCAGCCACTGTTTGCAGATCTCCCTTGACCCTTAATTTCATTCCACCTTTGCCCATCCTTGGCTTCAGAGCCCGTCCAGCTCCACAATGCCCCAGAAGCACAGCAGCTGCAGAGCCAGGAGGAGCCATGCAGACCTCCAGCATCCACAAAGGCTTTGTACCACCTGGACAGTTGCAACATCCTCCGTCAAAGCACAAGGGGGTTTTGCTCTCACATTTCTGCCATCCTTTCCCCCACAGTACAGTTCATGTGTTTGACGTAGGCACACGAAATTGGGCTTTCTCAAAGGCACAAAAGCAGTACGCATACCACAGTGCCAGTACAGAGCACTGTTTAGGATGAGAATTTCGGATCATCTTTAGAAGTAGCAACTGCACAAGTGGCACAGGCTGCCCAAATGTATGGACTCCTTCAATAGACATGTGCATTTGAGGATTTGAGTGGTTTGAGTTTGAATCACAGTATAACAAGAAATTCCATTTAATTCAAACTAGTGCAAGAAGAGCAAGCCTACTGCTCTGTATTTCACAAGGTACTTACAGACCTGCAGTTCTACAGTACACGTCAATGCAGCAGTGAATTTATATCACATACATAGCGCTCCATATACACCGTGTATGTCTTGCACTTGGCAGGTCTCGAGTCCCTGCTTTCTTAACAGATTACAGGCTCGTCACTAATGTCATATTGGGAGAAAATGAGAAACTGGAGAAGAATATGGGTCATACTAGCTGGATTTCTACACTGAACAGGTTAAGTACTTAGCCTGTTCAGATGGTAATTTTCTATCATGAGAATCTCTGTTCTTCAGCCGAAATTCAGTGTACTGTATCACTCCTGCCTGAAGAAGTATGAGGCAGCTTGACCACCTTCAAGTGATTACAGAAGGAAAGAATATCTGATGTAAAAACATTCCATCAGACAGAAAGGGATAGAAGGGCTGGAATTGGTATTAAAAAGGCATAGGTGGGTAATAAATTACACTGAGTCTAGAGGCTACTGAAACAAATGCCAGACTCTTCAAAAACACCAAGTGAACATAAGACTTTTTTTGAAAGCATACGTAGACAAGTTATTTGGTTCACTGAGAAAATAACTGGATAAAATTACTGTGTTTGCATTACACAGGTCAGAGTTTACCATGCTCCGCTGCCACTACAATTTATGCATGGTCTTATTTTTAGAAGGGCAAAGCATATTGTTTTATGCATGGAACTCATGCCTGATGAAAGCATTTGGAAAACACCTGACATAAAACAGAAAATAAAACCTATCGGAAAAACATCAGAGATTGCTGCACAAGAACACTAAGGCAAGAATGATCAACACAGAAATGTGTGATACATCACCCCTAGAAACAGCGTTTTATCTTTCAGACATAGAACCAGGCTATATCATGTAAAAATAGCAACAACTCCAATGAAAAATAACCAACTACAACAGAAGGAATTCAACATTTCAGATTTTCAGGGCAAAAGTAAAACAGAGTACACTTCTTGCCTGTATAAATCCATCATTTGCCTTTATCTTGGATGCTACAGGCAACCCTGCTTCACCCACCACAAACAGGTTTCAGAAGAAATAGAGATAAAAATGGTATTGAACAGCTTTGACATAGTGAATGACCAAATAGACTAGGATTCATTTGAAAAACAGCTAATTGAAGGTGCATGTAACTCAGGCATACAAAACTGAGAAAGTAAATAAGGAATTAATTGTTCTTTATCTTCCTAGTTAAGAAAAGAAAACAAAAAATCCTAAGAAGGCCTTGAACTAAGCTAGCAAGTTTTTAAAACACTATTAAATACTCCTTGAAACACATTTGTGCCATGAAGCTCTGCCACCGGAGAGTTTTAAGTAAACTCAAAACCAGACATTTTTGGAAAAAATGTCTGCTTCAGACAATTACACACAAATCCCCAGCGACTGGGAGACTACTGAAGAGGACAACTACATACTTCATTGTTCATACATACCTCTGAGGCACCTGTTACAGGGTACAGGAGTAATGGTATTTATTTTTGGTGTTTACTACAAGGAATTTCTGTAGTACTATAGTGCTTGGAGTCCTGCTCATTAAGCAGAAACAATACTCCAGGTAATGTTGTACTAATCATGTATTACAGAATATAGTTAAGTTCCTTGTAACTAAGTTTATAACAATAAACAAGTCAGCACATGCAGGAAAACACAGAAAGATGTCAATATCCTACAAAGACAAAATAAAGCTTTAGGAAGCATTCTGAAGGAAAGCAGAAAGTTTACTACACATTGCTAGGAAGGACCTTAGTCTGGTGATTAACAGTAGGTCTGAGTTATCTGCTTGGAGTTAGTACTGGTGTTTTTATGTAAATCAAACTACACAGAGACACTTAAGGGCAAAGAATAGAGTCACAAAGCCTTACAGACAGTCAAAGCAGAAAGAAAAGAGATCCCTTGAATAAGAGAAGAGAGCTGGAAGTTTCAATGCTGTTCTAAACCAAGGAATGAGATAATTTCTCAAGACAACCACAGCTGACTGCAACAGAGACAGCCAACTGGTCAGGAGTCTGCAAAAGAACACTCTTATGTAAAACATAACCCAGACTAACTCATTTCAAACCCTATAGCAAGAGCAGTTTGAATGTAAGGATCAGATACTGCATTATGGATGTATAAAAATAAAAATAAATCCATTTTGCCGTTGCCTTCTGGTATCTTGGTAATACGGCTTTATCTGTCACCTAGCTCTATCTAAAAACTAGACATGTTTAAAGGACATGGCATGCAAGACGTGAAAAGACATTACAGAAAAGCATATTCTCAACATCCCCTCTTCTATTTGTGTCAGCTAGCCCCAGCTTTTACTCTTAGCTTTTCTGAAAGATAACCAACTGATGTAAAATTTCAGTCGCTTCTAAAAAAGACAAGCCACTTGTGAAAAACATGTTTATTTGACAAATGTGTAAAGACATTGGCATCCCACATTTTATTCAGCTCTTTTGAGAAAAGCTCAGATTGCTTCTACACTTTTCTTGCAGTTTTTTTTTGTTTCAATTTGGGTTTTCGGTGTTTTTTTCTGGGTTTTTGTTTGTTTGTTTTGAGAATCTGAGTGAAAAGAGGTTGCAATATTGTCCATAAGGTTAAAAAAATGTCTTAAGTTCACATGTGAAAGTCTATCCTCAGAACAGCTAAAAATAAGACTTTAAAAGGAAAAATATTATGACAAAAATACTGGTAATTTAGTTCCTGTGCTTGTTGTTTCCTCATTTCATCCTGAGAAACAGGCAAAGGATTTTAACCATAAAGTCTGAGTTTAAGTTGAATTGCAGAAGCCATTCCACTTTCCCAGCTCTTCTATATCATACCTGTCCTAAAAGCAGCCAATCTTTGTTTGGGAATTTCCATGCAACTACAGCAATCACTCTTAAAATTCAAGATATCAGCCATATTCATATAAATACCTGATCTTGCTACAGTCTTGGACTTGTACTTCAAACATAAATCATACACTACTTGTTATGCTCTGATTTACCACATTCATTCAGGGCATTCCAAAGGCCAGTTGAAACAGGTGATAATACCTTAACACTCTTCCCCTCCCATAAACTGCAGCTCCTCCATCAACAAAAACACCTGCCAGCATTATATACCACCACCATCACTTTCAGATTCCACCTCCTCCTCCCCTTTTCAGTCTCTCCTCACCTCCAATACCAAAGAGAAGAAAAACAGCACAAAGCAAACTGCAGCCTAATGGCTTCACAAAACCCACTCTCCTCAAGAAAGCACGTAACACAAACTTATCATGCTGTCATAAGAAAAGCATTCATGGTAAGACAAAATATGAGGTCTTTTATTCCTTCTGACCTACCTGATGTTATTTACACAGTCTTCATGAGCTTCAGAGAGAGTTTTGATGTGCTTTGAAGATATTGGGTCAAAAAGCAGTACTTCAGTCTGTTCACAAGCTACAGTCAACACCGACCTGCAGAGGAGCAGAGCAAAGCAGAAACACTGGTATTAGGTAAAAGAAATTACATCCGTGCACATCCAGCTAATCCCCATTACCTATCCTGACAGAAACACAGCTTCACCATTACTCAGTTTGGTTTTCTGTTTGCACTGCACAGAATCTGCAGCAGTGTTTATATTTTTTTTTATTGCCTTCTTGCATATGTCTATTCTCAAACACCTAATACACAAACAAAATGTAGAAGAAAATAGCATGTTTTATTCTGGAGAAGTTAACTTCTCTAAACTCCTTTTCAAAAGACCATGACTCTTGTCCTGCCTGGCTGTCAGCATAATTAACACACAGCTGGTGCATGCACTGGATAGAGCACATGACCTTTTAAATCACTTTTTTTTTTTAACACGAAAAGTGCTGTGGCTAGTGCATCCACCAGGGCTTTATGACTGTCTTGCTTTTTGCATCTTTACAGTGTGGTCACGTACACTGCTCGGGCAAGTGCCAACCATCATGTACACACCTTGGTCAAGGAGTGAGGAAGGTGAGGCTGTCAGCCAGCCTGACCTGGCATAACCATGTAGGACCACAGATCAGATTCAACCAGGGTATAAAGGGAGTCCTGCCGGAGAGAACACTGAGTTGGTCCTCCTAGGAGCACTGGGTCTGCAGTCAGGGACTCTCCCCTTGGAATGGGACACTGCCCAAGGAAACTCCTGCAGGCTGACAATCCTTATCTTTTGGGTGAGTGATTGCGCACATTTTCAATCCTTGTTTCTAAAGCTTAAGAGTGCTTCACTCAGTTGTGCAGTCTTAATTCCTTGTACATCATCCTGAACCCATGGGTTACTAATGTTGTCAGAGCGTTGAACGACTTTGATAAACCTCATTTCTAGTTCGTTCTCTGCTAAACGACTTTGGCTAGAATAAAGTTTATCTTGAGTTTACCACAGGTTTAATTCAATTTCGTAAGCCTCTGCAACAGGCAGTTGTTTTATAAGCGCTATGTACTTCATAGATCCAATGATGGCATTATTTAAATCACACAGTTAATTGTATTTACATCAGTGCTGTTTTAATTTAAAAGTTACTTGAGAGCGATTTGCCCTGCCACTGCAGCGCATGAACTCAGTGGTTCCTGTCTGGGAAAAGAGAAGAATCAAGTTCTGCCATGAAAATTGCCGCTTTGTTCATGAGAGGATTCTTGCTTAATGTTGCAGAAAAGAGAAAAAAGAAAAAGACAACAGCACCCAAGAGTAAGCGGAAAGGCATCTACTCTGAAACTCTACTGCAGATTTCCCACACGACTGTGCCCATGTCGTGGTCTCCCTCTGTTCGTTCACTTGCAACACTTTTCAGAGAGTTCTGAGACACCGCAGTTTGCTTTTCAGTGTGTCAGATAATCAGCTGAAGAGCTCTGTAAAAGGCAAGGGTCTGACCGAGGCTGTACGGAGAAAGGAAGCACAGCCTGCGCTGAGTGCTGGCAGCCTCCTCACACACGTGAGCCAACTAGCTGCAATAAAGCTGGATAATTTACACAGTCACTGCATTGACCCTCATTAAAGAGGACAACATGAGGTAACAAGCCCCTCCAATCTCCCTCCCTTATCAACTACGACAATATTCTCCTAAGACTTTTATAGATGTTACCCCAGCTACAGCACGGCTTTGTAACAAGCAGCCAGTGCTGAAGTGCAACCACTGAGTTCTTCAGCATAAAGACACACCATTTCTTCATCTCCTTCCGTAACACTGACTTTGATGGCTATTTAGTTCAGCATCCACCCAAAACCAGCATAAAGATGACATTCAGACTGCATATTCAGGAGCAGAATTTTTAAACCAAACTCTAAAGAATAGCACCCTTCCCAATATTAATCTGTGATTTTCTACATTAGAACAGCATGAAGCAAGTAAATGCTAAAGGCAGAAATAAGACTGATTCAAAGGTTTATTTTAAATATCTAGCCTTTTTGCAACTGAGTCATTCTTTCACTAAAAGCTTATATTACAAAGTTTAGATTTAAAAGTTTTGCTTTTTAAAATAGCAGGAAGTCCAAGGGATTGTTATCAGACATCACACGCTGTTAACTACAAAAAAGAAGAGAGTTCTCTGACAGAAAGTGTTGATTTCCAAATGCAGTAGTGGTGCCATGGAAGTGAAGGTCAAAGGCAGCAAAAGCAAGGCACTGGCACAAGCCTAAATCGGGCGTGGCTAATTGTTACCCATGTTTTCTGAGATTAACTTCACAACAGACACCAAACCATTACATGCCACCTTTACTACTCTGAGGACACAGAAAAATCTGGAGCAAGACTTAGTATTTTACTGTATCACCTAATTCACTTGCCAAAACCAGAACTTCCAGAAACTACAATTTCAAGGACGTTACCTCCTTTAAAAAAAAGGACCTTTTCTTCCCCGCATGAAGACCTCCCTGTATCCATTTACAGCTTTTCTTGGAGGACAAAAAAAAAAAAAAAAAAAATCAAAGCCCTTCTTCAGAATACACATTACTTGTGAACAAGACCAGAGAGATTTCTGCAGAGAGTTCACAGGGGTCCCAACAGGCTCAGAAAACATCAACTGTCTGCAGGTTGGGCAGCCTGTCCAGCTCTGCACCAGCCTCTCCTAGGGTATCGATATTTCCTGAGTTCACCTACACTGAAAGGTCGGACTAAGCACAATGATGTGACAGTGAAGTCTGGCCTGCTAATTTAGTGAAGCTGACGTCCGGGAAAGCTCAGAAGTTCCCCCAGCACTGCAACAACTCTGACTAGCCCAGCAGTGTTACAGCAAGAGGGCAGCGTGCCCCAGCAACCCTTGGTCCAAGTGAGCCCCTGCGCAGCAGCTGCCCGCAGGCAGGCCAAACCTAACCGGCAGCGCACTCAGAGCCCAAAGGCAAGATCCCCGCTGCGGCCCCAGAACAGTGCCTGGAGGAGTCAGAAGCTGACAGGAACACAGCAATGCCGACTGCAGTTGGTTCCCTTGAGAGAGGCTGCAGAGAGACCAGAAGTCTCCACTGCACAGGACAGGTCTGCCCAGAACGGGTTAGGGCAGGCCTGTGACTGGCATACTCCAAGCACAGGTATTTTTCCAATCTAGTGTCTGCTGCTAAACCAGCAGAGCAATCCCACCTGGCCTCTTCGCACCGCATACAGCAGAGAGGACCCCATGCCTCAGGAACTTTAAGCACACCTGGCTGGGAATCTACTACAAAAGAAATTACTTTCCAGTAACGGTCACCTGAGAATGGTTTTGATAGTTTCTGGAGCTTAACTTTGTCCTCTTCAAAAAACAGAGGAACAAATAAGGAGTTGAAACTTGGCTCTATAGCACAATCACGGCAAAATCACCACGAGTTCAGATGTGCAAGGAAACCAGAGTCCTGTTCTGATGAAAACTCACTGAAAACAGAAAAGCTGACGAGCCATCAAGATTTCAATCCTGACTATCCAAACTCAAAACACTGTTGAGACCACCTTAGGCTGCAGGGTCATTCTGCCAAGACAACTTCACATACAAAAAGCATACTGCAAGATACAAACAGGCAGTTACCTGAATTGAACTCACTCTGCTTCGAGCTTGTGTGGCAGGATTTCTTTTATTCTACATGACTCCAAACGTCACTCGCTTTTGTCTACCTCGTTACACAAGTGTACCACAGGACATCTCTAAACTCATTTGTCAGTGCAGACTCACAACATTCACAGAACCCTAAACGAATAACTGAGTATCGCATTTCAAAAAGAAACTGAGCTCTCTGAGGACATCCGACACTCACACTTCTACGAGTTAAAGGAGTGGCCCCACCGCTCTGTTCTCAACCTGAGCCTCAGCTGATCGTCTCACCTTCTCCCGCACGAAGCAGCCGGGAGCACCGCCAGG